CAATCCAGATACAGAAGTATTTAAAGTAAAACAAACCTACAAGACTGAAAATAGATAACCAGCGATATCAATGTATAATGAAGTCAACTCCAAAGCAAAAAGAGGGAATAGTGCAGATATAGAACTTACAAATGGCAAGGAAGTCCAGTCGATTAAGATAAAACAGACTGTTTTAAGCAAGGAAAAAATAAATTAACCTCAAAGAAAAATAATATACGTGTCCATCAAAATGAGGAGGAAAACCAGGAAGATTTAATAAACATTAACACAGCAGAAATGGGAATGACAAGAAAACCAACAAAATGAACTCAGTATAGAAAATTCTGGGGAACAAAGAATCCAGCAGCACCACAAAAACACACAGAAAAGTGACAACAATCAATTCATACCTATTGAGAATTACACTGAATGTGGGTGTATTAAATGTACATAAAAAACAGAATGCATAAGAAACCAGGACCCATCAATATGCTGTCTATAAGTGACATATCAAAACAATGGAGATAGCCTAAATGCCTACCAACAGAAGAAGGGTTAAACAAACTTTGGCACACATGCACAAAGGAATACTACAAAATGTTGAATCATAATGAATCTGTGAAACACCTCACAACATGGTTGAACCTGGAGGACATTATGTTGTGTGAAATTAGTCAATCACAAAAGGACAACTGCTGTTACGAGATCAACATTGTAAAAACGTAGAATGTTTTCTTGATTAAAGAAACAATCTATGATGGTTAAGGTGGGGAGGAAGGAAAAGTACTCACAGGCTAGAGGGTAAACACATGTTAACATGGGTAACAAGGCAGGCAATATACAACTAGAGGGAGAAAAGACAGCAGAGGAAAGAGATACAGGGAGGAATTCAATAGTTAAAGTGAATAGAGATAAATGCTGTTAACTCTTGGCACATGGAGGGATTGGATTGCAACCATGTAGTGAAACAATGTATATGGGCTTGTTGAATGTAAAACTGATGATATGCTTCAGTCAATTCATATTAAAAAGGTAATTTTAAAAATGAAGAAAGCAAAAGGTCATTAAAAAGATAGGAAGGAAAGACAACAGAAACTTGCCCTTGTGCAGAGAAGCTAAAGTAACTTGAAAGGATGAAGTAAAAGAGCTGAACAGAGAATTTCAAAGGGCAGCTTGAATATGATAATGAAATGTACAAAGACCTGGAATTAGAAAACCAAAAGGGACCTCTCAGCATTTCTCAAGTTGAAAGAATTGAAAAAAACTCAAGCCTCAACTTGAACTATTGAAGGATTCTATGGGCAAAATGGAGCCCTGCGGTGGCACTGAATTTAATGCACTGGTCTGTAAAGTTGGTTTGATCTGCAAGGCCAGTGGTTCAAGCTCACCAGTTGCTACTTGGAAACACTATACAGGGTCTCTATGCATCAAAACTGACTTGATGGCACTTAATGATGAGCAAAATATTGAATGACCTTGTAAACATCAAGAGAAAAATGGAAGGAATACACAAAGTCATTATACTAAAAAGAATTGGTAGATGTTCAGTCATTTCAAGAGGTACCATATGATCAAGAACTGATGGTATTGAAGAAGTCCAGGCTGCACTAAGGCATTAGTGAAAAACAAGGCTCTAGGAACTGATGGAATACAATTTAAATCTTTCAACAAATTGATGCAGCGCTGGAGGTGCTCAATTGCGGACGTCAAGAAAATAGGAAGTCAGCTATCTGGCTAACCAATTCCAAGGAAAGGTGACCCAGTGGAATGTGAAAGTCTTGGAATAATATCATTAATATCACAATTTAAAGTTTTTATTGTGAATTATATGATAGTTTACATGGGGAAACATTAGCTTTATGTTCATTGTATCATATTTCAATTCATTGCAATGATTACAATCCCCTCCATGCATCATCAAACAACCAAAGGGTACACCCTGCAAGCCCCCCCCCAGCCGTTGGTACACAGCCCCTCTCCCTCCCTGAGTCTAGAGTCCCCAGCCGCTCCTCTCTCCACATCATCATCTCTGCCTCCATCTCTGGCATCACTGCTTCTCTGGGTAGGGTCCCACACTCTGCTCTTCTCCCTTGATGGTCCCAGGGACCTCCGCTCCTGGACTGCAAAAATCAACCACTCCTCTCCTTTTGTTACAAAACATCTACCTTTACATTTCCAACACTCACAGCCGGTTCTAATAACAATTACTCACTATTGAACCAGAAGAGTCTTATTCCCATCTCCTTTCATCAGCCCCATCCAAACAGGTTGGAAACCACTCAGTAGAGATTCTACCTTCCCCCACACCCTCTAGAACTAGGCTCCTTCTTGAAAGCTTATAAGTCAGTCACTTCTTGCCTTTTTGCAGCCCCCCATTTTGGGTAGCCAATGTTTAAGTTGCCCCTCCCTGTTAACCCTGTGTACCGAGAGGGTGGGAATGATCCTCGCTGTAAAGGTGTTTGTTCCATCTTTTGAGCTACTGCATCCATTAAGTGCAGGTCAAGTTCATCACATTGTAGCGGATTACTTTTTTCCTCTTTTTTTTCTTCCTCTAGTCGAGTTCTGATCATCCAGCCATTGAAACCAGGTCAAGTGGGTACTATCCGCAACTATGGGTGGTCTTGTGCATCTCCCCTCACTTCATATCAGCTGGACACTTCGCTCTCTGCTTTAGTTCTCTGTGTCTATGTCCCTGTCTCTGGGCCCAGGAGTCCCCAGATCTTGCCACACTACTAGCCAACCAGGTCTCTACCTGGGTTGACAGGAATCTATTGAATGTGGTCAGACTTAGCTCACAACTTCATTGCTGTTTTCCCCCAGCTCCCCTCACTGGTGACCAACGTTGTCACCATCAAGACCACAAACCTGCTTGTGTATTCCCCTTGAGTCTTAGTTTTGGAAGGGGGTTTGCCCCAAGAGGACCCGACCACTTGCCTTGATGACTCCCGGGACAAGTATATAAAATTTTAAAGATGATTTTAAAAGGATCCCAGCCGTGACTTTTTCCATACCCTCATAAACATTTGAAAGTTGAGAGAGGAATAAGGAAGACCTTAGAAGAATCCATGTATTTGAATTATGGTTTTGGCCAAGAATATTGAAAATACCATGGGCGCTAGAAGAGCAAGCAAATCGGTTTTGGAAGTACTGCCAAAACACTCTTTATAAGCAAGGATGGTGATACTTTATTTCTTGCACTTTGGACGTATTGTTAGGAGGGACCAATCACTGGAGAAGGACATCATGCTTGGAAAAGTGAAGAGCCCATAAGAGGAAGACCTCTAACAAGATGGATAAACAGTGGCAGCAACAATGGACTCAAACTTAACACTTGTGACAATGACTCAGGACTAAGTTTTTTTTCTTTCATTCTGTTGTACATAGTGTCTCTATGAGTCAGAACGGACTCCAGGGCACTTAACAAGCAAAATATGAATTCCTTATTTTCTGCTAGAACTTGACTATGGCAGCATTTCTAACAGCACACAATGTAAACATTCTGATGGGGTCAGGTAGGTGTCTTATGTTTGAATGGAGAACAGATCAGTTCTTGCTAAAGTCCTTATAATGGATTACTGATTCATTTTTAAGATATCTGCTTCATTTAGTTAAAGAAACCAACTCTAATCTGAAGTGTTTACTTGGCTAAAACCAAACCAAACCCCTGCATTCAAGTTAATTCTGATCCATAGTGTCCCTAGTAAGGTGTCAGGGGCTATAAATCTTTATAGAACAGAAAGTTTCCTTTCTCCTGAGGAAGGACGGGTGGGTTCCAGCTGCTGACCTTGAGGTGAACAGTCCAATACTTAATATACTACACTACCTGAGTTCAATCTGAAGTGTTTTCCTGTCTAAAGTACTGAAAATTGTTCAGTCACCTTCACCTGGTCAATCTAGAAGCAGTTAAAATAGAGGATTTAGCAAACACTGAACAAATCACAGGGGTTTCATCTTAATGATTGCGATCCTAGTGTGGCATTGTGGGTTAATGCGCTGCACCGAAAGACCAGTTTGAGCTGCAGTGTGGGCGGTCAGTTTCTCTTAAGATGCCGTGTGGACTCCATTCCATGAAATGCAATCCTTCCTTCAATTAGACCTTGTCATTACTAATGAAGCATTGTTGTTATGTGCTGTGGAGTCGGTTCCGACTCAGCGACCCTGCACAGGGTTTCCGAGGCTGTTAATCTTTCTCCCCCAAAGCAGCTGGTAGTTTTGAACTGCTGACCTTGCAGTTCGCAGCCCGATTCATAACCAGTACGCTACCAGAGCTAATGAAGCATTAGCCTAGTGTTTCTACTAAGACAGGGGAGAGTGAGGTACAGGAGGCAGTAGTGGGAAGTAATGAGACCACCCTACCCTACACAAAAGGTACCCATCTCAGAACTGCTAACTTGACCAACAGCAAGTTCGCACCCCAAATATGCTCTTCAACAGCAGTTCCAGGTGCAAGGAAACTATTGCCCAAGACCAGGAAGGAAACAGAGCTAAGATTACCAGCCTATCATCACGACCTAGTGGCTTCTCAACTTCATGCTTCTGTACACACTAGATTTCTGCCTGCCACCCCTATAGAAAGGGGGGCTATAAGTCCTTTCTCTTCCCTGACCCCTAACTCAGTGGTCAGGGATCAGTGGTACCGAGAGAGACAAGCCTAGAAGGCAGGCCCACCCCGCTGTACAGACAGTGACATTGAAGTCCCAATAGCACTTGTTGGGATTGTGTATTCCAGCCCATAGTAAACTTTCCCAAGCCCTACTATCTCAATGAAGGAGCTCTCGTAGCATAGTGGTTATGAGTCAGGCTCCTAACCTCAAGGTCAGCAGCTCGAAACTACCAGTAGTTCCATGGGAGAAAGATGAGGCTTTCTGCTCCTGTAAAGATTTACAGCCTCAGAAACCCTGTAAAGATTTACAGCCTCAGAAACCCTATATAGGGTTTCTATGAGTCAGAATCGACTCCACAGCATCCCGCCACCCCAATGATGTTAGACACATTACTCTAGACACTAGAAGATGTTCCTTTTATTGGGAAGAAGACACGGGATCCATCACAGGGTAGGAAACAGCATGCCGTCTCTTGGCAAGACCCAGGACGATAGCAGCTAGAGTTAGGGTCACTGCTGTGACCAGGCCTAAGCCCAGTGTCATGGAGCTGTGAGCAGCAGAGGGCCATCTGTCCATACTGTAGTCAGATTTGTCCAGTAAGATCAGTGGGCCCACCGTAACATCTGCTTCTTCTGCCACTGTGAAAGGAAGAAGTTATCTGAGGGTTACCCGAGTTCCCCAGTTTCTGCTTCCTGCACCAGGCATCAGGTTGGAAGTCAGTGGCTGAACTGGAAACTTTATCCTAACCCGTTATACCACCTCCAGTTACGTTTTACAGTAGAACCTTAGGAATTTGAAATTTCTATTTAACCCTCAGCTTTGGCCTGGAGTCCCATCCTTCTAGGAGTACATTTGAGTGGGAATAAATGAACTGGTGCCATAGATGGAGAGGTGGGCGATTAAGTGACTGTCCCAAGACATACCATTCCTGCGTTTGCGGGAAGTAGATTTCTGCCACTGGTTTGCTGACAGCTGGTCTACAGGGGGCAGTCTCTTGATAAGGCCTGGCATACCACAGTCCCCCTTATTACAGCACCCACAGATGTCACTGGTGCCTTCTACTGGGGACCAGCTGTGAAGGCAACAAGGCTTTTCAGGAAAGTCTGCCAATAGCATACATACTTGAGAACAGACATGAAGGGTGACCAGCTGCTGTCTACTCCAGTCATTAGATCTTATCTTACCTGTTGGAAGACTTGCTGAAGGAACAGGCTTTGTTTAGTTGGTCTGGGGCTTGGTTGGCTGGAGTGACCTTCAGATGGCAGGTAATGTAGATCTGGAAGGAATAGTCATTACTAGGTTGGACTAATGACTTTAATAAGCCAGTTCTTATCCAACCCGATGAGGATGGAAGAACCCCATTGTAGACATGCAGTAGTACTGAAGCAGGAGTAGGGAATGTCCCTGGTCTGTGGGCCATATGCCGTTGCTGTTGTTAAGTGTTTTCGAGTCTGTTATGACTCACAGCTACCCTCTGTACAGTTTGAGGAATGGCTGGCGAGTTTGAACTGTTGACCTTGTAATACGGTACAGTGCAGTATCTGCCGGCCATGCTCCACCAGGACTCCTGTGGGCTGTATAAAGTTAGTGAAGTCATTTGGTGTGATCCTGCCAAGGCAACTGCAGTTCTAGCCATAATGTTGTTGAGTGCCATCAAATTGATTGACTCATAGCAACCCTTAACAAGGTTTCTGAGGAGCAACAGGTTGAGATTGAATTGCTGACTTTTACAGTTCAAACTGACATTGTAGTCCAGTGCTTATCCTACAGCACCATACCAGGACTCCAGCCATCATGTTATTAAGTGCCATCAAGTCTGTTCCAACTCATAGCAACAATGTATATGTTTCCAAGGAGTGACTGGTGAGCTTGAACCATCGATCTTGCTGTTCAAACCAATTTTGCAATCCAGTGCATTATCCCACAGTGCCACACCAGGAATACATTAGTGGTGATGTTAATTAAATGTCTGACGAGATACAGCAGGTGAATTTTTAAGTTGATAATTTTGTTTGGCCCATGAATGATGTTATAAATTTTGGCAGAAAAAATGTTCCCCATGAATCCTAACTGACTCTAACCACCCCTGCATTAAAAGTTCAAAGTTAATTTGCCTAAAATTATAGGGCAAGTAGCAAACGTGATCCTAGGTTGAAACCCGTGATCTTTTACATCTTCATTCTTTTTTGATCTTGTCTACATAAACTCTGAGCCCATTAAGTGAGAACCTCAGTGCTGGAGAAATAAAACAGTTAAATACTTAGAAGCCCTGCCAAGGCTCATTGACAAGCAACTTTTCTTCTCCTCAGGAGATGTAATCACTAAGGATTGTCCCATTTTTCAACTGAGGAATGTTGAGGCAAGTCACTTCTGCACCCCTAGACAACATAGAAGCTCTGGGTGTGGCACTGTAGGATAAGCACTGGACCATAGGTTGGTTTGTACTGCAAGATTGGTGGTTCAAGACTCAGACACTTCTTGGAAATCCTATACAAGGTTGGTAGGAGTCAAAACTGACTCAGCAGCACTTAACATGTAAATCTGTCCACAACATGTGAACCAGAAGACTACTCCAGGCTGGTACCTAGCCCTGGCAGAGCCACCACCTCTAAGAAATGCTATTTGACCACCCTGTCTCATGAATGCTCAGGAAGGTACATGAATGAATACCCTGTCGGAAGCCAAGGGCTCCAAACCCAACTAAGCGGTCAATTGCCCTGCAAGATCACAGTCTCCCTGTTGGTACCCAACCCATCTGCTTCAGGTAGGTCCTCATCTACTTGGCAGAGCATCCCCAGCTCAGAGTTCCCCTCCACATTCTAAACAGGGTTTCAACATCTCTCGCCCAACTTTTCAGGGAATAGAGTCTAACTGAAATCTGCATAGTACAAGTCTTGGCCACCACCTAGTGGCTGAGCACATCAGCAGGAAAACCAGTTCCAAGACTTTGGGTCTCTGTATTCTACAAACCTATCGTGCTAGCTTCAAAGTGTTGAAGAGCTGA